GTTGATTGGCTATATTCCCAAACATTTCACCGTTGCCATAGTGACCATCATCACAGTGACAAGTAGGATACCAAGGGATTTACGTCTATCGGACGTAAATCAGCAGGAACAGGAGTTATAAAGGCTGAAAAATATTTTAGTTGAGAACAATTATCGGTAGGATTAATTGATAACAAAGTTAAAAATACTAAGAAATAGAGTGAAATAAAGCATTATTTGGGACGAATCAAGGAATTAGACTACACTTCGGCCAGGTTCCTAATGCTACCATCCTGCAAGCTTCCACGAAGGATAGACGAATCCTTGATGAATTGGAGCGTCAAGACAATGTATGAAGAAATAATAACGTTTTCCTCGTTCATGTACTCCTTTAGAGAATTGTCAAACGCCCTCTGCAGATATGGTTTTTAAAAGGTTTTGTGTTCAGGTGGTAGTTTTTATGTGGAGGGATACTTTTCGACCAATACATAATAGGTTATTAGAACATAAAACCGCCTGCAAAGGTTTATGTTTTAAGAAATCGAAAGTGTGGTCACTACAAGACACCAGAAAGAGAAGTATAAATCCCAACGATTTACCGGATATGTAGACTTCACAGCTAAGCGGAAGATAAGGCAGTTTATTGAAATTAATAAAATAAACAACCTTCTGAATAGGAGGAAGCAATGTAGGAAACTAAGTAGCAACTATCGGTGGCTCATAAATAGAATGAGAGAGAGAGAGAGAAAAAAAGGGAGCAGTAAGAGCCACAGAGTAAGAGAAAAAGATTTGACTAAGCCGGAGTCTGTTTTTGGAGCTTAAATTGCCAAGCAACTCGTCGTTGTTGCATACACACATGAACACGCATCCACGAAGCCTTAAAAAGCTCCAGGACTACACGTCCATCAGCTAGTTTATTTACACATACAATAGTTGTGACCTCATCCGCCCCCATACCTACCTCTCTATGACCCGCTTACATGCATGTAAGAGAAGCATAAATTATGGAATGCCTCATTGCGATCGCAAAATGAGGTCTCAGAATTAATTAGGATCTCAGCTGACCACCTTGGTTGGTTTATGTTTTTTGGTGATTGTTCGAGAATACTGATTTATGGCTCTGCGATGTCCATCACATGTCATCGGGGTTGTAGGACGGTGAGCCGAGGTCTGCTTCGCACAATTCAATTGACAAAAGTCCACGGCAGCCCTTCCTTTGTATCCGAATGTCTTCTTCCCGCCTTCTCAAACGAAATAAAAGGTATGCTCGTATGCTTCGAAACCCAGCTTCTCTTCATAGCTCAGTATTCATTTTACTTCAGGTGCTATTTCTATAGCCTTTAGAGGCACATCCACTGTCGCCCCATCGAGCAGAACACCTCGACTGTGATCTTCATGCTGAAGAGATTAGGTACTGTCTCCACGACTCATATATGAGCCAACTGTGAACATCTATCTCTGTTAGCCTGCTGCTTCTCAAGTTGATTTTTATTCAATTTGGTCATAATGCCGAATTGCTACGATGATTGTGCTTGCCCATCTTCATCATCCTTTTGACCGTCATGCCCCCAAAGTTGTAGTTGTCCCTTCGAGCAGAGTACACCCACTGAGAGCTTCTTCGTTTGATTTCCAAATCTTCCTTACAATCCCTTTGACCTGGAATCTGTAAACTTTATAAACTATATACAAAGTCCAAGATATTGTGGCTTCTATTTTGGTTTTAGCCTCCTTTCGATGTACTGAATTGGTCTTACCTCGTTTTCGTAACTTGGTCGTGCTGTCAAGGCGACTTACTTGGACGCACCTTGCCGAAGTCCTCTGCTATATCAATTTTCATAATTCCCAGCATCTGACCATGGACTTGATATATTTTTCCAGACGTTTTGTCGGCAATTTTTTCCTCTCCACGTCACAAGTTTCTGTTTACTTCCGGTAGATGTGTCATGAAGGAAAGATGAGTGGTAGCACAACTGCTCGTGAGAAAGTTGGTTAAGTGATTACATTTAATGGTCTCTTTTTTACGAGTTGTAGCTTGTTCTTGAGACTGACATGTCTCCCTGACGATGCAGATAACGAAGCCGATGAAACGTCTGTGTATGTACCAAGTCCACGTTTCAACGACGGGAATTATGCTAACTATTCTAGTATAGGACTTGGGACATGGTGAATCGAACAATTTCGCCCTGACAACCGGACCAAATTGCGAAATGTGGTTATTCCACTTCGGTACATCGAAAGGAGACTGCGACCAAATTAGAGGCCACAACATCTTCGATTAACCATTAAGCATCTCTAAAATATTTACACAATCCTTACTACTTTCATTTCTTTTCAGCCATTCTGAATTAACATCATTACCTTAATTTTCGTTTATAAGCAGAGTTTCGAGACTACCCGTAAATCAGTTCTATGAGATGTATTGCGCCTAATTCGTTTCAGGTGACGAAGGACTGGTAGTTGAATTTTCCCACACTGATATGAATAGATCTGACGCTCCCATTGAATTTAACATAGACTTGCTTTCCAAAAAATAGTTCTCATTCACGGCAGTTTCATTACTTTAGTCTCCTACAGACCATTAAATAGTTTGAAATCAAACCAGCCTTATCCTCTTCATGTAAACACTATTTGTTCTGCAGGGCTGCATGCTTACTTTCAAACTTAGCATCCTGGGATTGTGTACATTGAGGCAATAGATAAGAGGGTAGATTAATAATTTTTTATGCTAATATGCTCTCTGGCCGCATGTCTATTTGGTTTTGCGGTCACTTTCAGAAGCTCCCTTTACATGCATGGCTATTCGGTGCAGATTGGCATGGTTTTTCTCATTCGCCCCATTTCACTTTGAATAATTGTCATAATTTTGCATTTATCTATACTTTTATGTCCGCATCTGAATTGACTTTGGCGTTTTTCGTCCCTTCTCAGGTCAACACAGGACATCTTCTCACGCTGGGTCGCTGGCATGCCCTGGCCATTGTGTTTCGCTACACCAAACGTTTCCTCATCTCCAGGTCGACGGTCAGTGTGTTTGTCGACGGTCAACGGACAAGTCAGATGGATTTGCGTTTTCCCACAATGCCTGAGGTGGGTTGTCGGAACCGGCCTTTTCTCGATTGTCCGGCCGACTTTATTTTGTCTTTTGAGCACACCATCTGACCTCATCTTTCCCAGCGATTTGGTGTTCCCACCTGCTACAAGATCATTTCAGCTTACAGGTTAATTGTCCTTTTCTTCCTGCTGGCATCATACCTAATTATGAACGATTCATCCCCACACGACTGGATGGCATGGTCTGTCGCTTTAAATACCATTAGGAGTGCCAATTTGATATAAGAGAGGCCTGGTCTGCCTTGAAAGCCACGTGTGCCCCATGACCAATTGGCACCCATGCGGGGTCGCGAGGGTTCCATTCCCGTTGGAGTTGCTAATGCGACACAATCCGGCCTGTGTACCAATATCTTTTAGAAGTCCGGAATAAGTAAATATATAAGAAATATTCACCCTTTTCCGTTTCAGGCGATGAAGGACTGGTAGTTGGACTTTCCCACAATGCTATGAGTAGAGTTGACGTTTCCATTCAATTTCACATAGCCTTGCTTTCCCAAAAGATGTCCTCATCCAGGCAACAGTCGAGTGCAGTTTCGATCTCGCCTCGGTCTTATCAACACCTCCAGCGGGAGTCGAACCGTGACACTGCAGCATGTGAGCTTGGCACGTTTACCACTCGGCCACATTATCACGAGTGCCCTTGGGTCACAGGGCAGATGTGAATTTCAAAGAAGACCGGGTGTTTTCCCATATCACATTATTTGGTGGGATTATCGATGAAGCAGACGTATATTTGCTATAACAATCGACTACGTTACTTATTTTTCGTATATAAGCAGCTTTTAGAGAAACGAAAAATTCCTATGCTCTAGTCTCTTGTGTGGTGTCAACCCACAAATGTTATGACTTTATTTGTTTTGGTAAGGCTTACAGAAATGTTGGCTGCATTTGGTGAAAATATCAGAGGGCATCGACATATTGACAGAAAGAAATCTACTGAACAAGAAACTTGAAGAAAGCAGGATCAGCGAAAATTTTGCATAATGTCTAAGCAAACTCGGAGTAGATCAGGCAACGGTAATACCAGAAAGGAACGATTGGAAACCACGAAGAGAACCACAGCGTTTGTGGGTTGGCACACAAGAGACTAGGACATGGGAAGTTATAGACTTGGCACTGTTGATAGAAGCACGATAGATAGACTGGGGCTAGTTGGCTAGCAGTAGACATGTTTTATCATGGACATCGTTCATGAAGCAAATGCTTGACTACGAGAATTACTCTGGATCTATAGCGTCAAGTCAGTCTACCAACCGGCTTGAGAATCCAGACTTTGTTGGCCTACTCAGCGAGGCGAGAATAGGTGTGCCATCAAATGCTTGAGACAGTGTGAAAAATAACGCTTCAGGTGGTACAGATAGGCTGTCAGGGGTCAAGTGATTTTTCCTTCCAGCTAAGGTCAGCTTTGATTCTGCAGTAGGATTTAAAACTAGAAACAAACCTCTTAAAATGTAAAATAAACTTGTGGGCAATGAATTAATGTGGGTTCATTCAAGCTGGTGAACCTTGATGGTTTGGGCCAAAGTCTGCCTATTGTGGTTAGTATTCTTCAACGACTCCCCTTCCAATAATTCACTACCGTGATCAATCGCGGTATATAAGGCGATCTGGAAATTCATCATTCCATTTACCATATTTTATATTTTTACATTAATTGTTTGATTTTGTTTCCGCAACTTGGTCATATTGGTAGGAATACTTAGAGGAATGCACCTTGTCCGGAGTCCATAGTATGCATAATCAGTTCCAGCGTCGAAATTTAAACTTGGTACATTCTCAGACCTTTCGCTGGCATCGTAGTCGGCATCATCAGTAAATCTTGCCGACTCTTAAAAAAAACAAGTGAGGTTAATCTCTTGTCCAACTTTCTGCCAAACAGTTTTGCTATCAACAACATCTTGCTCTTCGTATGTACGTTTGTATTTTTACGCTTGTTGCTTCGGTTTTGAATAATGTTTGGGAGGAGGGGGGAATTTTCCGTCATATAAGTGGTCCTAAAACTCTTCTGCCTATGACCGAAGTGCCTGGATGATCTTAGGGTCAAATCATACGCTTGAAGAGTGGTAAACTGAAGTAGGTAAACTGGTAGATGGTTCACTAACTGTAGGCTTCTAGTTTTCTGATGTGCATTTACATTCATGCCGCCCAAGCGTCCATAATTTACAGTTAGGCTCCTGTTTTGCAGGGTTAACTCGGCTCATTTGAGAATATTTGTTTGTTTCTATTTCTAATCGTACACACACTTCTAGGCATGAATCGCTTCTTAGAGGGAATGCCAATACTCTGTGACCATGTGGTTTCTCTTCTAGATGCGTATTTGCCTTAGTGTGTGTATTTGTTTGCATTCCTGTAGATCAGCATTTAGTGTACAGCATATGTCTATCGTGCTGCTTTCAAATTCAATATGGTTTTTAGATGCCTGTATACACACACACACACACACACACACACTTGAACTGCACACATTTGGCTCGATATCTCGTAATGTCTATATCTGAGCTGGACACGACTGCTCTCCAAACGACGACAAGGTCAAGTAGATTGTCAGCTGATGGAGGACCCTAGTTGTACAATTCAACTTCTCTACGAATACCTTTTACGACTGCTCCCACACGAGATGACAACACCGTAATCGAGTTGTTGACCCCCAAGTCCTCAGAGTCACTACCGTCGGTTTACTTGACTGTGAGGACTCTCGAGACAATCACCCGATCAACTTGTTGTATTCCAACCTTTAAACTTATGCTTCAGGGAAGCTGACCTGAGACTGATGGGTGAAATAATGTGGTGCAGAGCAGGAGAGGATGGCGGGAAACGGGCAACTGAGAAAGTGTGTAATCTCTAAACGAAACTGACACAGTGTGTTGCCTAGTGTTGTAAATGTAGTGCTATCAGATGCTGTGGTAGGATTGAAAAATTGACATCGGTTGTCCAACATTGTTGATTGCTGTCCTTCTTACTTGGAGGTTAAAATGATTTTGTCATGGTGGGGAGATACAGAAGCAGATGTGATGAATGAAGAAGCAGCAAACGAAGAAGTGGTACACGTGGAATTGGCGGGCAACGACCGCCATTCCGTGGCTGGGCTGAAAGATTTGCTCGTTAGGATAGACGTGGGTGTAGCGATAGTTGTCAGTTGCAACTCGGAGAGCCGAGCCTTGAGATGAGTTTAGGAGAAAGGTTATTTTTTGTTTATAAATAGGTTTTCTATATTAACAGTGGATCATTTTTGTTTATTTGAGTAGGGTTTCGAGGCTACCAGTAAATCAGTGTAATGAGATGTATTCACCCTATTTAGTCTAAAGTGATGAAGGACTGGTTGTAGAATTTTCTCACAATGATATGAGTTGAGCTGACGTTTCCATTGAATTTTACATAGCCTTGCTTTCCCAAAAGTTGTCCTCATCCAGGGTGGACTGCCGTTTCGACCATGCATTGGACTTATCAACACCCTCAGCGGGAGTCGAACCGCGACAGTGCAGGACGGTAGCTTGACACGCTAACGACTCAACTACACTGCCACGAGTACCCTTGAGTCACAGGGCATAAGTGAATTTCAAGGAAAGTCAGGCCTCTTTGC